TTTTTCTCCGAGTAGTGATACTGCTTTCAATGATGATTTTGTGGAGTCAGCAGATAATTTTAACCCAGTATTTATTCAGTGATTTCCCTTTAGCCTGTGTTTTCCAAATGCTCATTAGTTATCAGAAATTATGCAGTCTGTATTTTGAGTGCACATTTAGCTGAGAAGAGTGATTTGAAAGCAACACTGCACATGCTACATGCACGTATTAATATTTAATGTAGCTTTGGTCACATAAGTTTCCAATGAGCTATTTTGATGTATAGTTATTGTACTGTGTATTTAAAAAGGGATCTTCTCCAAGCAATCATTCATAAAAGCTCAAAATAACTCTTGGCCTTTGTATCAGTGTTTCTATTATGTGACTACTAAATCAGGCTTGGTGGAAGGTTCACAGAGGGTTGACTGAGCTTTGTCAGCTCGGCTTTATTAGGACTTTTCCATGCTGGAACATTCCTGGATGTGGCTGATGGGATTTCCTGCCTGTCTGTCCTGTGAAGGTAGCATGGTGTGTCTGAGTGCAGGGAAATGATTCCCACTTTGTTCCTGTATACGATTTATCAGTAGGATAAGAGATCTGGCCACACAGAGCATTGCTTGTGGTGGTAGGGAGGTGTTATTTGGAAACTACTGCTTTGATACATCTCTCAGAATCTGTGGATGAGCCAGGTGGAAACACAAAGAATGCGTCACCCTCTTTCTGCAGGGTCCTTAACACTGTAATCCTTTTAGTGGATCAAGTAAATCTACACTAATTATGTTTGCAATTAAAAAAAAAAAGCAGCACAGTTTTTTTATGTTAATATCAATTTATAGTAGGTGCTTGAGTTTCAGATCTCTCTAGGCACTTCTATTTCAGCAGAAAACTTGTACTGGAACAAGTAAGCTGCCCCACATATTCGTCTGTCTAGCTCCTGTGTGCAGGGTGAATTTGATTACCATTACTTATCATAGAAACTCCTGCACATAGAGTAATAAATGAAAGGAGATTTCTTGACCCTGTGTGATTCTTGAAGGCTGTGTAAATAGACATACGGTTCTATGAGAATAAATTAGATTATAACAGATGAGCAAACTCTTTCCACCTGTACATGCAAAGATGGGATTAGAAAAGTTTGTGAAAGCAGATTAAAGGAACTAAATTTAGATGGATTCTTTCTTGCTTGCCTTCTTTCTTGCTTTCTTTCTTGCTTTCTTTCTGGTTCAGCCATAGGTGGATTAATTTTATTTTCCAAGAAAAACAGTATGGGGAATTACTGAAGTACAATAGATGTTTTCCTGGGGAGTTTCACAACCCCATAAATGACAAAGCCTGTCCTTGGGGAGTTTCCAGCCTTTCAGATCTGAGTAGGTTACAAAGCTCTGGTCTCCGTATCCACATTTTTGGATGCTTTGTCAATCTGACTCTTTTTACAACATCTGATAATGCTTCAGCCCTTACAAAATGCAATCAGTATTGAGAACTTCCAGACCAAAGCAGGAATTAGGAAATGTTAGAGTTGGGCAATCCCTATATGTCTCAGTTTACAGAGTAAGAAAAGGATGGGTAACAGTACTTTAACATTTTTATGGCCCCTGGATTTGGTTGTGGCTGCCTGCATTACACAGCAAGCCCAAGGTGTGTTCCTGTTGTCTGCAGGGCATTCTGGCTGCAGCCCCTCTGTGGCCCAGTATACACCCTGCTATATACCTGGGTCTCACACAGGCATACCCCGTCAGGGACCTGCCAGGTGAGCAACAGCAGATTTTATTATCCTTTTCCATCCTTACTCTATTCCCAATACTGAGTAACAACCAGAAAGAAGGATATAAACCAAAGGGCCAGGTTCCTCTGGATAATTCAGGCTATCTTATTTCACATAGACATTTGGTATAATGCACCTTTTCAGTTCTCAGTTTGTTTTCTCTGCCCCTTTGTCACATGGCCAAGGACAGGACAAAGCCACCCGCCGGTCCGGCGCACACAGAGGGCAGCCCGGGGCCGGGCAAGGCTGCTTTCTGCAGCGCAGGCTTCAAAGCTGCGCCCTACGCGTCTGGCCCAGCCTGCTGCTGTGTGGTAGCCCACGTCCCTGGCCCGGGACTTGCAGAGGTCCCCTCTCGGAAGCGAGGAGCTCTACAAATGGCCTTCTCCCCCGCCTCGCCCAGCAGGAACCCTTGCCTTTATTATTGTTGTGATTTTATTACAATTATTGCTCCCTGTCTGAATCTCATCTACATGCATAGATGTGACCTGCCTCTGGAGGAAACAGATTTCGGTCATCGTGATGAAGAGCATAGGAAATGCTTCCCGTGGCTCGGTGCCACACTGGCACTTTTCTTGCGTGAATTACGTAGGGCTTTGAGTTCCTGACCAAAACTGGGCTCGGTCCCCTCCATAGGGGAAGCAGTCGACAGTCATTTTCCACAAAGGCCTGCAGGAGCGAAGTTAGATGAGAGATAAGCAAGGGATGCAAAAACAAAGGCAAAGCAAAGTGACTCACCTGTAGGCTATCAGCTACAAGTAGTCACCAGGGGCCAATGACACAGCAGTGACACAGCCACTCTGTGACATAGCTTGTCCCTTGTCACAGGATCTCAGACCCATGTGGGACAAACAACCTTAATGCCCTTAAGGCTTCAAGAGCAGGAGGGTCCTTGTCCTTTGGGTAAGACACCCTTACAAATTCAGATGTCCCCCTACATTGCCTTTATTTACTCAATGGTAGCACATTGAGTACTTGGACTTTCATGGTTTATGTTCTTCTGGTGCTCTGCACAGAAGTGATTTTATCCCTGGGACAAAGCAGCACTTTCCTTCATGAGTGTCAGCACCCGGTGTAAACCACCTCTGCCCAAATGAAGCCCTGAGCCGTGACGAGACTTTATCTCATGCACAAATATGGGTTTGACATTTTTTCCAGCTCTGTTGGCTGATTAAAAGCCTAGGAAGTGAGCACACATGAAATCATTCCTTCCGTACAGGCAGACAGATGGAGAGAAATCCCAGCCTGTTTCCCCTCTTTTGTCTTCAGGGCATTTTTGGAATTTCCTTCAGGAAGTGAGGTTGCGACCCAGAACCTTCCTCGGTGACTTAGGCTCTCGTTTCCCACAGTAAACCTTGCCTGGTGATGACATGCAGCACGAGAAGGTGAGGTTTATCTTCACACTCCAACTGCATCCTGTACGAGCTCCATGGAACTTAAAAGCAATACTGAGAGGGAATGGCTGCAAGGAAGGAAACGGAAGCCAAGCCTGTGGAAGAAGTAACGCAGTACCTATTCAACTGCGCTGCCACGGCCCTCGCCCGTGGACCAGACAGAGCTGGAGCAGTTACATAGCTGAGGCCACCATTCTAGGTTTCATAAACTTCCTTGATGTTTGCAATAAGCTAAGAATTAAACTTCATTAATTATATTACTGACATAAGTGAATTATTTCACGTACGCTAGGCAGTCACGATAAAACTGGCATGCACCTGCTTTTTTTTTCCCTGTTTGTACTTCATTAGCTGTTGGAGAAAATTGCTACTGTAGAGATTTTTTTTAATGGCATTGCATCAGTACAGTGTGTGCTTGATAAAAAATTATATTCTGGTGTTCATTTTGTATTTTACATGATCCTGTAAGTGGCATTATGCATCTTAGGTCCCTGCAGAATTGGTGCGGTGCAATCTCAACACGTACTGAAACCAAGAAATTCTTTCACTGACTTCTGTCAACAAGAAACCACACCTGGCATGAAAAGTCCACAATAGCACAAAACTACTAGTAATCTGATAACAAAATCTTTAAAAAAATCAGTTTATTAATGTTTAGAAGTCAATAAAGCTATGTGCAAATTGAACAATAAAAGTGAGAAACATTTTAAATACTATTTTTAAAACCAGAAAAAAAAACCCCAACAGTTTAATTGCACTGAGTTTTACTACAAAGGCAACGTATTTTCTTTACAAAATACCACTTCTAGGAATTGCAAATAACTGTACATCAGTGAATTGCTCTCAGCTATCCCAGATATACCACTTTTGTTATAGTAATACTCTAGGCACATGAAGACTCCTGCATCTTATTAACTTATTTACATTGTACACATTCAACCCTGTTAGCACAGGTTAGAAAAACAGAGGAGTAAATCTGACGCTGTAAAACAAATACATTCAATTTAATGACAGGTAGTTCTTCCATGAACTGATAAAATACAGACATCTTTGCTGAAATTATAAACATTAATAACACGTGCCAAAATGTGTTGCATTTTGTTATGGAAGTGCGTTTATCTATAGTCATTTCACTTCAACTTTCCTTGTATTTTTCTGAAACTCAAGGTACTATTTTCATATGTTCCGACTGATCTTTACCTTTGGAAAGACTATGAACCTGACACTGAAATGCCCCTTCGGTTTTAACTCTTCCTACTTAGGTAAAAATCCTGCTGTTGTCAATAGTATCTTATACTATTTGATTTACTTTCAGTCACCCTAAAGAGAAATGACCTTAGTTCTACCTTGCGTGTGTCATGATAATGCAGTTTATTTAATGCTATAGAATAACAAGGCAATCAACACGTGGGGCCAAATGCTGCTCTGAGCTACGTCGTAAATTCTGATGCAGTCAACCAAATGGTGCAGGTGAAAGCAACTGCACAGTCTCGCTCACTGGCTTCAAATGTAATATGGACCAACAGCAAAAATTCATAGCTCTGATCTGGCTAAATAAAAACCCAACAGCTTTGGACACTGCACATAAAACCTTATGATTTAACTAAAAACTCTGCAAAATTATGCCAAATCATGGTTGTATGTGTTCTAAAGTATATTTGTGCGATCTCTTTCCTTGATATGTGCTAAACAGTTCTGACCAACTATACCAGAGTCACCACTAAATTCAGTACAGAAACATCTTTGTTGTCAGTGGTTTGCTGCAAGTAAAGGAGAAATAACTTCACATTCTTCTCACAAGGGGAAAAAAAAAAAAAAAAGAGTCATTCTCCTTCTCCCTCCTCCCCCTCTCTCTTTCTCTCACACACACCAGGCATCATTTCACCAAGGCATCAGTCTTTCAGAGTTACTAAGGAGATTTCAGGATATGAATGCGCCTGACAATCCTGAGCTGCCTCAGTGCAAAGACAAAAACCATGCTCCCAGGGAATAGATTTTCAAGCCAGAACAGTCTGTCCCATTTCTTGAACTCCAGCCTCGCAAGTGCACCGTTTGCCTCGTTAGAACTAATGCTACTTGCTCACTTAGCCCAACGCTGCTGCCATGAGCAGGAGGCATCTCAGCTCCCCAGTTGCAGAGGAGGGCTCTGAAATACACCCCTGTGGTTACTCCTAAGAAGATGAGGTAACATTGCCCGAAGACATGATGGTTTCAGGGCGGTCGCCTTCCTCTTTCTGTGGGTGGGAGGAGTTGTCAGACTTACTCCGGCTGAACTCCATCCCTCCGATGATCGGCCTCTTGAATTTGGTCCCAGACTCTGCCGGGGGACATTTGCAGCAGCACAGAATCTTGATGAAAGCCCTCCGCATCTCTTTGTTTGTCAAGGTGTAGATGATAGGGTTCGTGGCTGAATTGAGCACGGCCAATACTAAGAAATACTCTGCTTTATAAAGGATTGGGCAGGTCTTCACTTTACACCCCACATCCAGTAAAAGCAAGATGAATAAGGGAGCCCAGCAGGCTATGAAGGCACTCAGCACTATGATCACTGTCTTGAGCAAGGCCAGTGACTTTTCTGAGCTCCTAGTAGCTTTGGTAACGTTTTTCCGAAATGTCAGCCTGCGGCTCCTAGTCCTCACCATGGAGTAGATCCTGCAATACAGGACGACAATAGATAGCAAAAGGCCAGTGAAAACAGTGGTGCAGAAGAGGATATAGTGCTTGTGGTAGAGAGGCAGCACGGTGGAGCAGTTGTACAAGAGGCTGATGCAGTTCCAGCCCATGATCGGGAGTCCCCCAAGTATCATGGAGATAACCCAGCAAGCACTGATCAGCAAGAAGGAGCGGAAGCTGTTGCTGCCATTGTGGAGTTTCATCTTCAACATGGTGATGTATCTCTCAATGGCAATGGCCAACAAGCTGAACACAGAAGCTGACAAGGCAACAAACATGCTGCCTTCTCTTACAAACCACTGGGAGGGGGTGAGGCTATAGGTTTTGTGTCCAGACAGCAGAAGGTTGGCAGTGTAAGCCACACCAGCCAGCAAGTCTGAAAGAGCCAGGTTCCCAATGAAATAGTACATGGGTCTGTGAAACTTCTTGGTTTTCCAAATGGTGAGCAAGACAAAAATGTTCTCTAAGATTATAAAGCAGCAAATGATGATAAAAACCACTGACGTCACTTTTATTCCACTGTCCGCGTTCTCATTGAGCTTCCCTGTGTAATTATAGTGCTCTTTGATGACATAGTTGACATCCGTGCTGGTGAGGCTGCCGACGACCTTCAGCGGGGCCGTGGTGTCGGAGCTCATGGTGCCCGGCGGGGCGCC